CAAATTAGTGTCTCTCCAATTTAGAGATAAGAGTCTTGTGTGGGACAGTGTCGAACGCTTTGCACAAGGCCAGGTAGATGACGTCAGCTGCTCTGTCACTGTCCATCAGTTCCATAGCCCCATCATAGAAGGCCATCACATTGGTCAGGCAGGATTTCCCTTTAGTGAAACCATGTTGGCTGACACCAACCACCTCATTGTTTTTCATGTGCTTTAGCATGCTTAGCATGCTTTCCAGAATTGATGCATTGATGACGTCTGGTCACCAAGCTCACTTCTTTTCAGCAGGGATCTGTCAGCTCCGAGGCAGAGCTTTCCCAGTACTTCTCGCATGATGGTACGAGCCACATCCAGTTTTCTGATGCTGTAACAGGCTCCTGTGATGAAGAACAGCTCCGTCAGAAGAACAGAAACAGTTTGTTGGATGATGGTTCTCTTCTTCCTGGCAACCTGAGTAAGAGACGGAAATGTGTGGTTAGTGGGGTGAGAATCCCTGAGCTAGTTTGCTTTACAGGAGAGCTGTACAGCAATTCCTGTGCTGGTAAGAAAGGCTGGCCAGCGTGGTGCAAGCTGGTGCTCCTCATATTAAATTCATACTGGAAAATGGAAGGGGTTTGCAACAATGCAAGTAAATGTCTGTTTCCATGGTATTTTGTCCACATTGCTGCTCTGATTATGTGAAAATGACTTTATTTGATTGGTTTGGCCAAAACTAGATTGACAGCTATGCACTTTGGGTTATTTTTAAATGACTGATGATCATCTGATTGATTATATTTAAATGAAAGTGTTCATAGCTATCTCAAATATGCAATCTCAAAATGTCACATGTTGCAGTGTAAAAACAATCAAATGTGCAATTTGACATGAGATATTTTGCACATGTGTCTTTGTCCCCATCATATTTGACTGAAAGAATCTTACATTTCCTTACAGACATACCCCTGGTCTCACATTCAAAGGTTATTACGTTTGTTCTGCCTTTGCTATGCTTCTCAAATAATGTCTTTGTCTACAGCTTATTTTTCTCTAGAAATTCATTCTTCAATGCTTTAAAAACATTTTTTATTTTAAAATTTCCACAAAGCAAAGCAAAACAAAAACAAAAACAAAAAAACTTTCTACAAAATAAGATGTAGTTCTTTATAAGAAGAATGTGGAAAGGATTCTTCAGCTAATTAGTCTTTAATTTGAAGCTGATTGTTATGTGCTTGTGTCTTTGTTCAGGAAGGCATTTTTCACTCTCTCCTAAGTTGTCATAGGCAGTCCTGAACAGATTTAAGCAAAATGTGAAAGAAATTGTCTTGTTTAAACTAAAATACACATGTGAGTTTGCATCCCTTTCTTTGTGTCATAGTCATAATTTATAAATAAACTGAAAATAGAACCAGATGTGCCATGAACTGATTCTGAGAACTGCCCATAAATTGTAGTGCTGTCTACCATCCATCTTGTACTGTAGTTAGAGGGAGGACATGAAAAACCTGTTTTCTACTTTGTGAGAGATGTTAAGCTCCCCCCGCAATCAGAGCCACATGTAATCTGCTGCAGTCAGATGCATGGTATTAAAAATCATCTATAAATGCAATTATAGTATAACTGGTTTTTTTTTCCTAGCTGCCAGAGAAGCAGGAGTGGCAAAAGCAAATGGTCTGACTTCTCCTAGTAGTGGCAGATTGTCCAGCCTTCACAACAAGCACGTGGAGTCTGTCCGACCAAGCATCCTCAGTGACAGCCCCAAATCTGCCCGCAGCCCCTTTCATCGACAGAGGAGGGTTGTTTTCTATGATGGTGATGTTAGTGATGATGATGAAAGTTCCCACTTGCAAAGAAGCCAGAGAGCCAAGAGCCAGGAGGATGCTGGTGTTGTCATTACAACCTCGTCTGTAGAAATGGATGATGAAAGCCAGGACAGTGGGTCACCTAGATATAGTAGCACAGAGACATCTTCCCCTGTCTTCAGTAACTCCATGGAGTCTGCAGACAGAACGCTGGAGCAAATTGACTCTCCCTTCTTCCCCATCATAGCATTTGATTACTCAAGTGTGCCTGAAGTTCGTCTTGGCAGCCTGAGTTTGAAGGAGCTCCGCGAAGCACAACTTGAATCTAAGAGATCCCCAAAACTTGAACACAGAGCAGTCACGAGAGTCAAAAGCATGATGAGCACTGAGTGCCGAAGCCTTCAGAGGCAGAGGATGGAGGAGCATGGCTCTTATAACAAGCCTGTTGCAAGAATGCTCCCTCACAGCAAGAAGTGTGAAGCACCAGAAGGAGCTGGGCAAGGCCAAAGTGAAATAGTCACTTTGGTTCGCAATGAGCACGAGTCATTTGGCTTGGATTTGGAAATCCAGGCCATGCCCTTAAAGGTTGTTGTCACAGGCCTGCGGCCAGGTGGAGCAGCAGAAATGGTAAATTTTTAATTTGGGTTGCCTTGTTGTGATTTGCTTCCATTTTGCATGTATTATTACGGTTATTATTGTTATTAAACAAGTCATCTGTTGATCACTTGTTTAATAACACGTGCAAGGGATGTGTTTGTCTCTGCTGGGCAAAATGTCTCATCGCATGTTGTTCTGAAGCTACAGTTAAATTAAATCCTTCTGATTCAGAAGCATATCCTGGCTGATTTGGAACTAAGTCAGGAGGCAGATCTAGTGAGATGGGCTTGTCCTTGCTTGCACTCACAGTTTTGAGAGAATACTATTCTTTTGTGTCTTTTCTTTTTACCAGGATCAAAGACAAAAAAAGTAAATCCTGGTGGTAAAAAATGTTTATAATCTCTATTATTTATTGTGCATGTGTTCCTGTGTTACACGAAAATGGTACCAGGAGGCCTTAGGTGCTGGCCAGGTTTGCCAAGCACCATGGCACTGGCGTTAACACATGGATTGTCTGCATCTCATACATGCACGTATTAGTTTGAATATTTGGATGTGGAATTGCTGACCTAAATAAAAAAGTGCAGAAAAAGGAAGAAGGGTACTCTGATGTACGAAGCTGGGTGTAGCATTTTTAGTCTAGTTAGTGGACATTAGGGTAAGAGGGAATATGTTGTAGCAGATTGAGTTGGGCTGTCAGAGCTGGGGATTTGAGTTCTGTTCCTGCCTTTTTCTCTGACTTTTGTGCAGTCTTTAGAAATAAGCTTAGGCTTTTACCATAAAAGCTGGGCCCATGTCCAATTCAGTTATTTAGGAGAGTCCCATTGGTCCAGTGGAAGGTTGTGACCAGGAATATAATTCATACATGAAATGCAAAAATGATAGACAGTGTTCCAGACTTGAAGAAGCTAGGGCTAATTTAACCTGATTCATTTAAATGAAAAGGGCTATGTCCTCCTTCCTGATACTGATCTCTCAGAGAAATCAGCAGCTCTTTTGACCTTCCTGTTTGAGGTTGATCATTAATTCGTCTCCTGGCAAAAGCACAGTCTGCCCTTTATTTATGTGTTGGCAAACTGACAGCAGTGGTACCTGTGCTCTGCAGTGATGTGAAATACAGAAAATTGCTCGTAAGCCATGAGTTGCTTCCCTGCAGTCTTTGCCCCTGTGGCAGCGCTTTTGTTGTGTATTTATAATTTCCTTGAATCTGTCGTTGCATCAGGGATCAATGGGCAAGATGGCTGTAGGAGATGAGATTACCACCATCAACAGTATCCCAGTCAGTAAGATGACATACGAGGAAATCTGCTTGCTTATGCAGTGTCTTCCCACATCTGTAACTCTGGAGGTCCAGAAAGTAACACCAGGTGAGAGAGTAGTTTTGCTTTTGTACTGTGTATTCTGAGTACCAGTGGAGACAATTCCAGCAGTGGATCAGCTGGATCTGATCTTCTGCTGCCCCAGCTTCCCAAATTGATTCAGAGAAAAACAGGAGGTACATTGTGTCTGCATTGGTGAGCCAGGCAAAGCACTTCATCACCAAACCTGGCTTCAGGGTCCTCCGTAGCACCACAGTGAGGGGAGCAAACCTACTCCTGTGTGGAACATTCAAAGCCTCTGCTTAAAAGTATGTCCCTCCTGCCAGCATTTGTAGAGGTCTGGGTCATTTCACACAGACCTGGAGCTAACTTGGCAGTGACCATGTCCTGTTTACTGCTGTGCCTGTTAGGTAAATATATTGACCCTCTTTAATCACATTTGTCTCTCTTTTAAGTCTGAAGCTTAAGTAATGTTTTTTATGAATGGACAATAAGATAATAAAAGCCTCTTTTCATTCTTTTCCTTTCATTGTGTCAGAATTCTCTAATGTGCAGAAAGGTGAAACAGAAAACCCCAGAAAACTAGAATAATATAAAAATGTTTATTTGCATAGAATCACAGAATGGTTAGTGTTGGAAAAGACCTTAAGATCATCTAGTTCCAACTCCCCTGCCATGGGCAGGGACATCTCACACTAGACCATGTTGCTCAAAGCCCTGTTCAGTCTGGTCTTGAACACTGCCAGGGATGGAGCATGTTTCTTATAAAAAGTTTTCTAGTTTGAATTGAAATATTTGATACCTTCTTAGTTCCTGCTCAGGGCTTATTTATGCTGCTACAGCAATATATGCATCCCCACAGACTGTACAAATTACGTGGTGTGGAAATGAGTGTTTGAAACAGAAAAGCATACTTTTCAAATTCAGGAAGAACATACTATTTTGCTTCATTCCAGCTTATGATCTTCTTCATGTACCTATTAATACCTGGGAGCCTAAAGTGTTTCCAGATGCTTCAGTTCCAGTTGTGAGGAATTTCTGGCTTGGCAGAGTTCTGTTCTTGTTTCCTTAGACTACTGTGGCTTTTGCAAATTAACAGCATTGGGGTAGGGACACATTTGCACTCCTTTATCATGCAACTCTTCTGTCCCACTGTTCGGGAAGAGGGTCTCTTCAGTGTGTGGTCCAGCATGCTGAAGCAGGGCAGTACTTCAAATCCTAGCCTAGCTGCTTCAAATTGCTCTTCTGAGATGATTTCCACTTTGTGGACTCCAGGAGGAATCTGCACTTCTTAACATGGGTACCTCAGTTAAGAAGTGTGGATAATCCCTCAGGTTTGTGCAAGGATGAAAGAGATCTTCTGACACGTTTCAACGAGCAGGAAAGGATGCCAACTCTGTGAATACACCCCTCCCTCCTCCATGCACTTTCTAGGCCTTATCTGGAACGCAGCTTGAATGGGGATGTATGTCCCAGAAGCAGTGTAGAAAGATGCAAGCAGACGTTTAAGGGTGAAGTGCTGAAAACTGAAGAACTTGGCGAAATGGATGAATAGGAATGCATCAGAGTACAGCAGTGACAGGGAGCTCAGTGTGTTGCCCAAGAGTGGGTTAATCATGTATTGGAAGGAAGGAGAAGTCTGTGCCAAAAATCCATGTGCTTAATGTGTGTATAACATAACCCATGCGTGTCACATTAAACACCTGCAGAAGTGCCAAGAGGATCAGAGTCAAGTTATTCATGCACAGCTCGTCACTGTGTTATTGTTCACCTTTGTTTGCTATGCCAGGGCTTTGTGTACTGTCTGCAATCTGTTGGAGACATCTTTGATCAAACAAGTAATGAGCAGTAGTACTGCTCAGCCTGGCTTACTGCAGACTGACACTTTGGTAGTTGGCTGCTTAACTGCTGAAATTTCAAAGATGAGAATTAAACAGATCGTGACTGCTCACCTTGGATGAGTGGGTTGTTCCCTTCTGTGTGCTGCTCAAATACACAGGGTTATGATTAGTTTGAGTTGTTGTAAACATCACTACAGAAGAGGAAGAGTGCAGAGCAAAAGGCAAACATGTAGTCTGATTACGTGGGTGTCTATTTTTGTAATAAAACCTGGTGTTTTGTATATCACTTCCTATATCTGACAGGATTTTGCTTCTTTTTAATTATTTTTTTTTTTTAATGATGCAGCTGTCAGCAGATTTGCAAACCTCATCCTGTCTCCGGGGATAGACAGTCAAAATCAAGCCGACGTCAACAGCATCCTCGAGACTGAGGAACAGCCGAGCGCTGGGAAGCGAGGAGCAGCAGGTTCGCAAGGCGCTGGCTGTGCAGTGGAGAGAACAACAGTGCCACCTGATGCTACGAGCAGAGACGTGCAAAAAGGTAGCATGGAAAGCAGCCGCCCTGAGGACTGCATTGCCATCCCCGTCACCGATATCGATGACCTGGTCAGCCAAATGGGTGCTCCCGAGAGCAGGGCTTTGCGCACCCCATCGCGAGCGGAAAGCCCCCTCAGAGATGAGTACACCACGATGTGCTGCTGTGGGACCGACGAAGGCTGTCCCAGTTCTGAGCCACGAGCCACCAAGGAGGAGCTGCTGGAAAAAACTGTGAAATGTGGAGCTAACGCACAAGGGATTTTGGGGCTGTCTGTGTTGGACACCATTAACACGGGCAAACTTTTTACTGTGAATAAAAACTCATTAAATAACTATTCTAGAAATTACAGCAGCTTAAATGAGGATGAGTTGCCTGCAGCAAACACTCTGGAAGGAAAAAGAAGCGACCCATTTCCAAAGTCCATGTATGGGGCTGCAGAGGATTCTCACTCGGACACAGAGTCTGTCATAGAAGCCTTTGATAGTGCTAATGAGGTGTTGCTTGGGCCCTGCGCTGCTGCTGCTGCTGCTAACATCCCTGCAGTCTGTACTGTAATTGAGTCAGATGAGGAGCAGATTGAGATTTGTTGCATGAACAATGAGCCGCAAAAGCCCACACAGGAGCAGCATCTCACATCTGCAAGACGATCATCCTCTGTGTCCTCACTGCACCCTTACAGCAGCAAGGGTTTACAAACTGAGGGCTGTGCAATGTGTGGGTCACTGGAGACAAGCATCAACAAACTAAGCTTGGAAGATCATGGTGGTTCCACTCCATGTCCTTCACAGTGTTCAGATGTGTCTTCTGCATCCTCGTGTTCTCCTGCCTCAGTTTTCCTGCCAGAAAAAGACATCCTAAAGAATTCAGACAGTATCCCTGAAGTTTACTCTTTCTGTAACAACGGTGCCTTAAGTACAGAAGAACAGATGGGTTTGGGGAACAGTAACAGACGTATGAAATGCTGTGAAACCATTGAAGAGGAAGGGTCTCTGCACTGCAAAAAGATAAGCTTCTGCTCTGCTAGAAATGTCAGTGGCTTGGAGAAAAACTTGCTTGAGAAAGAAGGATATCATGATGAGCAGAGATCCAAATCTGAAAGTGAAATGGTGGTTGATGACTGTAATCATGCCGTTAGTTATTGCTTAGTGAAGAAAGAAGCCAACAGTTTGTCCAACTTATGTAAAACAGACAGCAATCATGTGAATGCATCGTTATCAAGAGCAGTATCTCTCAGGTCTCCTTTTCCCACTAAATCTAAAGATCCAAAGGCTAATACAACTCATGAGTTGCCAGGAAAAAACGAGAAAATTAACTCTGTGACTTCAGGAAGGACTTCAAATGGAAAAGTCCAAAGCTCAGGCACAAATCACTGCAAAGGAGCTGCAGTACCGCACAGCCCATCCTCACAGAAGAAATCCTGTCAGGAATCTAAAGGAATGGCACAAAAAAGTATAATGGACACTCTTTTAAATAACCAGAAAGCCAAAGCAGGACCAAAGCTAAAAGGGTTCACCATCAAAGGCAAAGCAAAGTCAAATTCAGATTCTTCTGGCATTAATCCTACCAAAGTCAGTGGGATGAGTGGGGTTGATCAGAAAAGGACTTCTGGTTCTCCGCAGCTGTCCCCCAAACTCATGGGGAAGAAAACACCGTTGTCCCGTAGTTCACCTACAAACCCAGATCCTGGCAAGAGCATTTCAGCAGCCTCAAGGACTCTGAAGTCAGAGCTAGAAAATAAACCATCTCTGGTCATTTCTGAAGATTCACTTCTGCCTCTCCTGAATGGCACCAGCAGCCCAACAGCGAGCGGTGAAATGAAATGTGGCTCTGGGGAGCTAACAGACCTGCAGCAGGCGTGGGGAAAGACAAAAGAAAAACAAGTGTCCATGCAGCCTGCAGTGTGTCAGGGTAAGGGTGCTAAGGTGGATGATTTCAGAGCCAGAGACAGTCAGTCCAAAGTCACTTCATCTCGTCAGGGGATACCAAAAGTTGAATATATGAAAGGGAGGACTGAGAACCCTGGAGCAGGCCTGAATGCAATTAAGAGCATCTATAGTGCGGATGACCTTAGGCAATTAGATCAGCAAAATGTAGGACCATCTGCTTCATTCAGGTCCCCCTCAGCTCAGCAGGAGCAGCTGGAAGGGCAGGAGGTCCAGCGCACTTTCATTGAGGTGAAGCTTTCCTCCTCAACATCATCCTCTTCTTCCTCTGCCTCTTCCTCACCAGCATCATTTTTACAGCTGCCATTGATGGAGAAAACAGAAGAGGTGAACACAGAAGTGCCTCGTCTGGCTGAGGAAATGGGGACCATGCCGTATTTCTCAAAAGCAGATACTGCTGCAGACAGAAGTCTCTGTGGCCTGTCAAAACCTGTGACAAGGACTTACTCGATGCCAGCCCAGTTATCAGGTCACTTGAGGGAGGAATGCCATGTTGCAGAGGTTAATCCTGTACAAGGCCCCCAGGGTCATGCTGTAGAGGAGAAATATCCCCAGGCAGCGACGGGGATGTTAAAGACAGTCCATCTGAACCTTCCAAATGGCCAGAAGGAGCAGGCATACACCTCCAAGAGCACCCAGAGGGTCCATGACACGGCCCCCTCAGCCAGTGACATTAGCTGCCCCACTATTGATAAGCTGAGGAGCTTCAGGAGGAATTACTACTACTATGAGCTGAACTGGCCACATGAACCTATCTCATCCTTCTCCGTCAAACAGAGGATCAAATCCTTTGAAAACCTGGCGAATTTCGACCGGCCCATCGTGAAGGCCATCGATATACACTCGGCCATGAGGTCCCCCCTTGCCAGGAGGTCGTGTGGTGGGATGGCCCCCACAGCCAGTCCCACTGAGACACCACGGGCTTTGCGGCGCAGCTTGAGCTCCTATGGCGGCAGCCCGAGCCCAGCCAGCACCATGGCCAAGGCTCCCTCCGGCGCAGAGCCCGTGCGTGCGGCAGAGAGCAGCAGGGGGGAAGGAAGGCCCCAGAGGAGTGAGGGTGGTGGCGCTGGGGCAGACACAACAGCCTTTCCCCACTCCCCCTGTCCCGCTCCAGGCTGCGGGAGCTGAGGGCCCTCAGCATGCCCGACCTGGACAAGCTGTGTGAAGACTTCTCCGGGCCACCACAGCCTGCCTGCTTCAAGACGGAGCTGGAGATCACCCCCCGCAGAGCCCTCGGCGTGTCCGCCCCAGGTGACACAGCCCCAGCAGCCCGCAGTGGCGCCGGGGTGGGAACGGGAACGGGTGCCAGCAGCCCTCAGGACAGCGGCTCGGGATCACCGGGGTCTGCATCGGATGATGACATGCCCCACGGCAGCTCTCCGGATGGGGACCGCTCTGAGAACAGCTGGTCCATCAGGTTGGTGTCGGCTTTGCTAGTGCTGTTTCGTTTTCACCCCTACGAGCCTCTCCTGGTGACAGCTGCGCTCCTGCACAGGGTGAAACACTTCATCCTGGTATGGCTGGGGACCATGACCGCGTCCCTCTAGCTGGGGTTGGTCAGGTTTTGGCTGCGTTATGGCACAGCAGCCGCTGTGGAGGGGAGGCTGTGCAGCACTGTCTGCCAGCACAGCCTGCGGTGACAAACGAGCTTATTGTCCTGCCAAAAGCAGTCTTCAGATATAGCTGTCTACTTGGTTTTGTTAGTATCTGTTGCTAAAACTATTGAGAGAGGAGGACAGGAGCAAAAAAGGGACCAGTTTTCAGAGTTATTGTTAAATTGTCTTCTCTGCCTCTTCCCATCCTACCAGCATACACTATTTCTTGCCTGTTTTCAAGATTTCTGCTTATTGATGAGCTGGCCCTTCATCATTTACCCTAATGCAACCTACATTGTATACCTGAAACATATCTCTACATGGTCTAGAAATAAAAAGCTGTCTTTTATATTTTCCTGTTCATTTTAGCTTGGATCAGCTGCTCGTCTCAACCCTGGACCAGCAAAAACTGCAGTCTGTTTTGTCAGCAGTAGTACCAAAATGTGACGTTGCTGCTATGCTCCAGGAAGTCAAAGCACAAGTAAAGGTAATAAAGCCCCAGAAGATAAAACAAGATTATTGACAGCAATTTTAAGGGTTTTCTTAATGGCAGATAAAATCTCTTCCAAGCAGTTTCAGAGCTGCTTCAGTAGTCCTGTGGTAGGTTACAGTTGATGGTAGTTTTATTAATGCTAGTTCTTGAATGATTTCTATAAGCTGATAATAAATTTGAATGTCTTTTGTGTAAGAAGGAGTATTGCTTGTCCAGTGCAAAAGCACTTTTGAGCCACAATAAATAGACCTGTTTTAAGTGGAAAAGTATGCCTCCATTTGAAGTCATTATCACAGCTGAGAACTACTAGGTTTGCCAATAATTGCACATCAGAATTTAGCTTTCCACCAAACATCCGGGTCATACTCACATTCCCTACATTGCAAGTGAAGCTCTATTCCTTTCTGTGCCTGGAAGCACTCGCCTTTTGCTAGAAGCTGCAATAATGGAAATAGAGTTTATTTTGTGTAATGCTGAACTGCTTGCAACACCAGAAAGTGATTGCTGGAGGGTTTCTGAGAAACTCCTGTGACCTTTTTGTTTTCTTCTGTGGTAGCTGGTTATTGCATTAGAAAAACCTGCTTCATTATCTAGGTGTTTAAAGAACTTCTCCAAAATGAAATGATTGCCATTTCACTTCCCTGTTTGCAGTGTTTGTGGGATACATCCATACCCTTTTAAATCAGTTGATAAAATAATGACAGCACAAAAGGGACATCTGGTCTGTGTAACTGCTGGCTGAGCTACATTTAGAGTGTTCCTCAGTCTTATTCCCAAAGGTTGCTATTTCAAACGTAGAACAGGTTGGGGGGATCAGGACCTCTTCACAATACCCAGCTTAACCTCTTTCCACGGTGTGCATAGCTAAAGCTTTTAGGTACCAAGATCTTGGTGAGCCAGGAGGGTTTGGTAGATTTACTGGTAAAATTAGGATTGTATTGTATTTATGGCCAAAGGTAATTAAGCATTCTTTAAAGTATTTTGCATGGAGTCTTTGAGAGATTATTTATTTATGTCACTTTTCAAAGCTAGAGAACTCAAATGTTTATAAAACTGAACACTTTTTGTAATGCGCTCCTTGTCTGCATAGTTTCTCATCTACGTTTAATCCCTGTATGGCACGTTCACTGGAAAATTTTATGCTAGTCAAATGCTGGATTTAAATGTACAATAGGACAGTTCTTCATAGTTATGCAGTTGCTGAAAAATGAGATGGATTGCTTGAT